TTGAAGAAGAAAAACAAAGAACAAAATCAATGGCTTTTCCACGGGTGCGCGGGAGAGCTATTAATTATATCTGATAGATCGAAATTCTATAACAAAAATTTGTAAAACTTTTAGCTCTTTTATTCCACAAAGAATAACAATAAATAACATGCAATGACGCAAGTTTACAGTGAGTTCGTTTGAATAAATGAAAAAATTGGTCAAAGCTAAATTATACCGTATTTTACAAGTCCTTAAAATAGACGATTTTATTCAGCAACAGATGCTATATTTATTGACCAATGGCAATCGTTGTAATAGATGAGTACACATGACTGACTTTATTTCAGGAGGTAGACGATTGCTGTTTGTCATTTCTTGAAGATCGTTATAACAAATTAAAGGTAAGAATAACCTTTTATATTTACTATTGGTAGAGAAATCGAAAATGGTTATGAAACATGAATTATATACTCCCCATTTAAACGGTGGATGGTTTATTCGTTGAAAATATCATGTAATCATCAAAAAAAATCTTTGATAGAATTGTAGTTCCGCGATAGTGTTCTGCTAGTCATACCTTATTTTGTTAAGGCTGAAGAATCTAGTCAGCAATCTAGAATGTCACGAAGAACCTCAACTCTTCCTTAAATTTTGATACATGTCCTTTCATAAATTAGCTTCTACATGTTAAATAACTGATGATAGTCTCGCTTGGGCCAGCAAATTCTCCGTCAGATGTTTTTCGTGATGTGCTGCGCTGTATAAACAGTAGGCCTAGATTATTTCTAGGTTGTTAGCTTGCTGAGATAGTACAATAGGCCTATGTGAAAGTTATTGAATACGAACCACACTCCGGGAACATTTGTGTAAATGATAAATGGTAGCCCTCATAAAGTTAATCATTTAAATCGAAAAGTATTAATCTTTCAAATATATCACGAAAGTTTGAACACATACCGGTAGGATTACTCTTTAAATGCGCGTTTACGTCTGGAGCTCTTTGAGACTTCGGTATAACGCTATATAAATAAAATTGTGTGTTAATAATTTATTTGACAATTATAAATTGTGGTGGGTGTGGTAGCGTAAAAAGAGAATGTGTCCACTTTCATTTCAATTCATTTCAAAATTTGCTTTGCATGGATAGATTTAACCAACCGGGTTGTAATTTCCAAATAATGAACAGAATTCTTTCGTTTTTTTATATTTAGAATACAAATGAATCCGTCTTTGACATCATGTGCACTCTTAATTGGTTTGATCAGTCTATTAACTTGCCTACCAGAAAGCTTGTCTATGACTACAACACCTGAAAAAAACGTTCATGAAACTTGTAATATGTGCTGCCACGGGCCGCCTGGGCAACCTGGGATTCCTGGGGTTCCAGGAACATCTGGAGGGTTGGGTCCAGCTGGACCATCTGGTAGTAAGGGTGA